AAAACTTATAAACAATTTCTGTTTCGACCACTTTTTTCGAGTAGCTTTAGCCAAATTGTTATTTAATTGTAATTGTGGGTTATGCTTACAAATTTCACCTCAAGTTCAAGGTGTGTCTCAGCAATAAATTGTTGTTTATTATTGTTGCTTTTTTCTGTTAATGCTTGCCAGCATTGGCAGCCAGCAGTTGATGGCGTAAGCGTTTTGGCCAAAGCGTTGAGTGAAAGGGGTGTTGGTCAGCGACTTTTGCATATATGTATAAGTATATACAAGTTATTTAACAATTATTTTGAGTGTGTGTCTAGAAATATTCGAGCAATGGCAATGAAAAAACTACGCTTCAAAGTCAGCCGCAATCAGCAGGTCCTATAAATCCCTAATTTAAACAATGGAAAAACAATGCAGTCCCTAAGTTGGTCAAATTAATGTCAATAAAGTTCGGCTAGATCCCTCGCAGAATAAAAAGGGCCCATTGTGATGGCCCCCTTAGTTTATGGATATGGTTCCTGGTTAGGAATTAAGGTAGTTCCACCATCTATATTTTTGGCATATCTGTGTGGCCAGTTAGGAGGGAGTTTTGAGCCAGAGCATAAGCCAATTTTTTGAAAGGAAAATATATTAATAATTATTGTGCCGTAGAAAATCGAATAAGCTGAATATCTATATCTAATACGCCTAATTCTTTTACACGGTTTGAAAATCCTTATCTCTAAAGAACTATGTATATATGCAATTTTTAATTTTCAAACCGTGTTATATGAAATTCGAGTAAAAAAGACCGTGTAAAAACAGAATTGAGTGTATGTGTATTCTTTTATGAGAGGCTTAACGGATTTCCTGAGTACTTACAGTATCACCTAAGTAAGGGCTAGTTTTTTTTTGCATATTATGTGCTCATTGAAGTTTATCTTTTGTTGTAAATGAACAGTTTCTTATGAAGAGTTCGATTACCAAACAACTAACTAAAATATTATGAAGTAGTAAATTAAAATTAAATAATTGAAATTATCAAAAAGTGCCAGCGTCTCACAGATTTTATCACTCGTCTTTGTTTTTACTGAGTCATCAAATTTAAGAGCACAAACTTGAATAAATAATACATTTAAGATTCAAATATTTATTGAAATGATTCACAAAATGTTGCTGTCAGTTGCTGTGATGTTGCAGCAGCATGTTGCTAACAACTAGCAACACATTCTAACAACACGAATACAACAGCTGTTCGTTGTTCGGGACAGGCGCACAAAAGCCGGCACATAATGCAGCTTGTAGCCATGTGCTACACAACCCCCAAATGTCTGCCGCCCCCAAAAATGTCCCCCACTCGGAAACTGGCAGACACATTTGCCGGTTGCCAGAGTAACGAAAACGCATGGCAAACGCGTCAAAACAAACTTGCCTTTGTTTGTTGTCGATGGCAAGTGGAGCGTAAGGCAGAAGGGGAGATGAGCTCTCTGTCTCTCTGTCTGTCTGTCTGTCTGTCTGTCTGGCGTTGGCAAGACTTGGATGAGTGTGTGTATGGGTTGCAGAAGGGAAGCAGGAAACATGCGTTTTTTGGCAAAGCAAACACAACAGACAGCAGAAGTCCTCACTGATGGGCACAACCCACAGACAGCCCAATCCAAAAATGCAGACTGACGCAGACATCAGTGTCGACGATAGCGACGACAGGGAAGACTTTTGTTTTATTTGGCAGACGTCTAAGGAGAGAGACGAAGCGATGACGTCGAGAAGGCATGCAAATTTAATTGACGTGGTGCAGAATTCAACGGGGATCGGTAGTGGGAGCGGGCGTGGGGCAGGATTATGGGGGCAGCAGCGGCATAGGATGCCAAATGAAACGGTACGTGCCTGGCGTGTGGCCTGGCCTGACTTTTTTATCAAGTGGGTGTGGCTTATGCTTAATTTTGTCAGGCATACCAGTTTTATTTCTGTTTTTCTTTTCTGGCAGCCACGAGCTTTTCATTTCTTTTATTGATTGATACCTGGGATCCATTCAATGCCCGCATAATTAACTTAAAATTCTATTCTATTTCGTTTTGTTTCTCGTTCTGTGTTCAAACAGTGGAAAATCACACGTCATGGGAAAATCATGAGTCAACAGATTTTGTTTACTTCACAATAAAAAAAAAAATGATTTGACTCATGCATATAGAGCGGTGTTTACCGTTTTGTTAGAGTCAAAAGTTTTGATAACTTGTTTCGGGACTCGGTTGGGATTGGAGCCTGCAGCCAAAAAGCACACGCGGTAGAGCTGCGCGCGTGATAAGAAATGACGAGCAAAGTCACGAAATGAATTATTATTTACAAAAAAAGTTAAATAATTCACTAAACATTTTGTATCGTATTCTTGAAACTCGAAGAGTTAGTTTTTGACCTTTTCATTGGTACCTGTTTTTTGTAGCTCTAATGAGTACTGTTTTATAATATTTCTTTTTTTTTAAATATACAAATACCTATTTTTATTTTTAAATTGTTTTCATAATATTTACAAAATTTATTTATTTATAAAAAGTGTGTGCAAGTTACGCATTTGAAGCTAAGTTCCTTAAATGGTGCTTAAGTTAAGTTATAATAAGGCTCTGTTCGAGATTTTAAATGTTCTGATGTTCCTTTGACTTCATTGAGAGTTTGTGAACTTCTGCTGGCACGTTCACAAAATAGACGGGTTTTCTGGGATCATGTGCAGCTCTTCTGCATGCCAGTATATAAGTATTATACATATTTGTACATAGGCATGGAGGTAGATATATATGTATGTACGTACTCGTATAAGCTGTATGTTCCGTTTTGTCTTTGCCTGCGTTAATTGACCGCGAAGTGAATGCGCTGCAGAGCGCCCCCTGCCGGCTGACTGACTCCATACAATGAACTCTATGCCAAGTTCAAGAAGGTGGAGGAGAACAACAACAGCAACAGTCACAGCAACAAAGACAACAACTACATTGAACGTCTGCTTTGCAAGCAGTTTATTCAACTGCAGCCCCACCCCCACCCCCTCCCCCTCCCATCCACACTCCCGTTTGTCACAGCTGTGTCTTCAAAGTCTTGCACTTTCATTCTACATGTTGTCGTTGTTGTTGTTGTTGCTCTTGTTTTTGTTTTTGTTGGGCATAAGCAGAACAGCAAGTGCTGCTTGAATTAATGTTTGACTTGCGAGGCAGCCGCTACCGTTTCCTGTTTTCCGGACCAAGCAGTAGACGTTCCCCGTCTAGAAGTCAGTCTCGCGCATAAATTTGGCTGCTAATTGATTTTCATTGTAAATATGTACATGCATACATACTTGTACTATACATAGTATGCAGTCCGAAGAGTCTTTCTAGCCTTGAACTGGTTTGCAATTTCAGAATACAACTAAGTATTATGTTAAATATACTTAGTAGTTCTAGTTATTTGCAAGCGCAATTGCAGTCAATGCGTATTACTGAAATTAATTACTGAAAAATGCATATATTCTATTTTTTCTTAATTATTGTTAATTATTTAGCCTTTCATCCTTCCTTTGCTTTGTTTTGACAGCAATCCAGTGGCATTGAATCATTAAATTCAATCATACAAAACGCTTCATTGTCAACTAGAAAACTGGATTTATTTACAGGCAAATCCCATTTTAATAACAGCAATTAGTTTAAAAATGTACTAAAATTGTTAAAAAACTCGTATTTGTTACTCAATGACAAGCTAAGATTAACAAATTTGAACGTTAACTTTTGAATAAACTAATTTATTCCAAAAAGGTTTGTGGTTCAGACTTTAAATAGCCAACAAATATTTGATATGTATAGTACATACTTGTATATTATATTTTTATAATTTTTCAGACATGCAGAAACAATTTCCAATGTGAATGAAAAGTTAATAATAGTACTAACCACCATAAGTAACTCCCGTTTCTCAACACTTATGGGGCTTACTGGCTATGGCATGCAAATTAAATGAATGCCTTAAAGTAAGGTCAGATTTGCAAATAATTTCAACACAAAATAAGATGAAAATAATTTGCATTTTATGTACATACATGTGAGGATGTATTTAAGAAAGTGAAGTTAAATTCAAAAGACTTATCACTTAATTTCCAAATATTAAACAGAGTGTTCCATAATCGATATTAAACATGCGTACAATTTGAGAAAAAACTCTCCAATACTTCAATGGAACAATAAAGGTGAGACAAACTGACAGTATTATAGTTTATTTTATGTAATATTATCATTGAAATATAATGACTTGATGAACAAGTTTATAAAAGGTTTTTGTAAAAATTATTTGGCTGTGGGAACACAGCTGAAGTGATGCTCGAAATCTATAATTGGAATTGAACCTCATTTGACAATTTCGTAAAGAATAATTAATTAACACGATTAGCGATTTTAATATAATTTTTCACCTACCTATCCAACTCAGTTGCATTATTTAATGCAAGTAAAAAGTTAACAGTATTATACTATTTTATTCTTATTTTAAAGTCAGGGCAGGGCTAGCCTTCTTGCCTATAACTAAAGACTCCCTATATTCATGTTTCATTTCACATAAATATTTGATTGAAGAATTTCTTCAATCAGAACTGACTCGATCCCGATCCCTGACTACGCATGCTGCTGATTTCTGCCACTGTACGATTCTATCAATGCCTGCTGATCAACTGTTTGTCGAGCTACCCGAAACACACCTGTACGCATGGCTATATGCTTCGCATAGACCTGCGGCAGCTCAGCTGTCGACTTGTATTCGAAACCGTTTCGAAACAAACAAAGCTGCAATCTCAGCGTGTTTCAAAAAAACAAAACCGAAGACGAAACCGGTTCCGCCAATGTTATATTCTAAAATCGAAATTAAAATGCGAGTGTCGCGCAGCCCGAGCTCGAGCTGTTTCAGCTAAATTTGATAGCACAGTTTCGTGGCACTCGCAGCGGCGGCAACATCGCGACAGAAGACGCGACACTACGGACCAGTACAGACTCGTATAGGTAGATAATATAGTTGTAATTATAAAGCGCATTATGTTTCTTGAATTGCTAATTGGAGCGCTGATCTTGCTGCTGACCTGGGACTTTGCGCAAAAGCGCGTGCGGGTCGCAACCTTCCTGAAATCGGGCATTAATGGCCCCCGATCGCTGCCCCTGGTTGGCTGCGGCCTCATAGCGCTGGAGCTGGGCGCAGAAAGTGAGTGAGAAGGGTGTGAACTAACAAGACTTCTTGGCCAAATGCATTAACAACTTTCACTCGACTGCAGATATTATTAGCTGGGTGGGCCAAATGTTCGAGACATATGGCAAGACATTTCGACTGTGGATACTCAACGACTCGCTCGTCTACACCATGGATGCGCGCTACTTCGAGAGCATATTGAGTAGCACCACCCTGTTGGAGAAGGGTCGCATGTATCTGTTTCTGCGACCCTTCCTAAATGATGGCCTGCTGCTGAGTGTGGGAAAGAAGTGGCATGCAAGGCGTAAAGTTTTCACCACTGCCTTCCACTTCAAGGTGCTGGAGCATTATCTGGAAATTATGGACCGACAGAGTCGAATTATGGTGGACAAGCTGGCTCAATGGGCCGACGGTGGGACAATAGTGGATATGCTTCCGATTGTCTCGTTGGCTGCACTGGATGTGATAACAGGTGGGTGTTCGGAAAGCCAAATCATTAAATGGGAAAATATTTTGCACACAAATTCGTGAATTATTGAATTCGTGAAAAGTGAAAAGTCGAATTTGCAAATGCTTTTTTGTAGAAAATGCTACCGATTTGCCTTAAAATAGTTGAACAAATTGACAAGTTACTTAATTTTTCTGAAACTTTATGGAGAAATCTTTAATCAAGTGATCTTTCTGTCAACTCTGATCTTTGCCAGCAACGTACTTATGCTTTTGCGATGCTTAAAATGTCAGTTTCAAGTGCGTTTCTCTGAACTGTTTTTGGAGGGAAATTGTTACTGAAATATTGCTGCTCTCTAGGTTACATTTAAAAGGTATTTGATGTCAACACTTCGGTTTTTATGGGTTGCAAATTATGCAGCGAAAGTAATATCAATAGCATATAATATATTTTCGCTATTCAGAAACATTTAATTTAGAGTGGGGGTGGTTCTTTACATCTATCGCTATGTTAGCGATGATTTGGGAATGGGAAAATAGTAAGGACCCGTAATAAAAAGTCGGTACGAAGCACACCTATATGATTATCGTACATCTATCCTCATTTGCAGAGACAGCCATGGGTGTGCAGGTGAATGCACAAAGCGATCCCGACTTTCCCTACATAAAGGCACTCAAGAGGTGTGTAGAATAAATACGCAGCTAGTACCCTATTCCATTGATAATTTTGCTGAGCTTTGCAGCGTTGTCTACATACAGCCCGATCGCATGTTCAAGTTCTCGCAACGTTCTGACTGGATCTTTAGGCTAACGGCGCCGAAGCTCTACAACAAGCTTCGCAAAGACATTCGCGTCATGCATGAATTTACCGACAAGGTTATACGTGAGCGTCGCGAGCAGGTGGAACGTGCCAAGGCAGCTGGAACCTATAAGCCGCTGAGTAAGTTAATATCTCCACCACAGTTTTCGCTGGAATAACAACCTCCTCCCCCTCCACCCCATGTGCAGGCATTGGAGATGACGATGTGGGGACCAAGTCGCAAATGGCTCTACTAGACATTCTGCTGCAGTCGTCCATAAATGGAGCCCCCCTCAGCGATGCGGACATTCGCGAGGAGGTGGACACATTTATGTTTGAGGGCGACGACACCACTACGAGTGGTGTGTCCCATGCGCTGCACTGCATCTCCCGACATCCCGAGGTGCAGGCGAAACTGTATGCCGAGCTAATCGAAGTCTTGGGCAATGATCGCAGCGCTCCCGTCAACATGGCGCAGCTCCAGCAGCTCAAGTACTTGGAGTGCGTCATTAAGGAGACACTGCGATTGCATCCTCCGGTGCCGGCGGTGGGTCGCCACACCAACAAGCCGCTGCAAATAGGCAGGCAGACCATTCCAGCCAACACCAGCATCTATTTGGTGATTTTCTATTCGCAACGCGACCCCGACATTTTCCCCGAGCCACTCAAATTCAAGCCCGAGCGCTTTCTCGACGGACTTGACGACGAGGACAGTAAACGGAAGACGTTTGCTTACGTGCCTTTCAGTGCGGGTCCAAAGAACTGCATAGGCCAGAAGTTCGCCATGCTAGAGCTGAAGGCAATGATCAGCAAGGTTTTGAGATACTACGAGCTTCTACCTTTGGGTGACGATGTCCAACCCATGATGAACTTCATACTGCGCTCCCCGGTGGGCATGAATGTGGGGCTAAGGCCGCGGCCATAAACGAACGACTTCGCTGCCAACATTTGGAGGAGTTAAGAATGTTTTTAAAAATTCTTTTTATTCATTAAGACTAGCAACAAATTTTGTTTAGGATAACTGTTTAGACATAGGCCTAATACCCTGATGTGAAGGTAAATAGTGATGGGGCTTATATTAAGACAAGGAGGTCCTAACAAATGATAACAACTCCATGATTATACAAACATTTAGTACTTAAGTTGGGCTGAGATATTACATACTAAATAATTTAATTGTAATCTTTAAATTTAGATTTTCATTTCGTGAACATGCAATTTTTGAAAATAATAAAACATACAGTTACTTAAATCCTTTTTTCAAACATGTAGCTCGAAAATGTTATTGATTTGTGATTGGAATAAGTTCACATTTTTATTGTCCTCTTCACATGTCCTGTGAAGCTGAGCTTCTTGTTTAGGACTCGAAACTGAAACTAGATGTGATTCATAATTTTCTCCAGGATGGTAAGAACAATTTAAGGATGCAACGATACTCTGGCACAGGTAGGCTCGCCGGCCACCCCGAAGAGAAGTCCCAGTCCCCGATTCTCTCCTTTCGCAGCTAAAGCTTAACTAAAGCTCCTTTTTCTAAGCAAAACTGAACTATCCCCTATTAACCTCAATTCCATTTTATTAGCAATTTCCCCCTTCCCAATACAAAGTGCAATTGCATTTTATTCAGCACCTTGCGTAACTCACAACACTACTGAATCATCACTCGGCCAATATTTGTCTCAATTATAGAATTAGTCTTGGGGAATTAGTGGCACGGCGTCAGAGCAGAGCCACTGAGCATCAAGAGCTATTTGTATAGCGAATGAGCGCAGTGTCGTTCATAAACTAAAGTTTATCTCTCATAAATTACTGTAGGTATTTACACGGTCCAAATATTTGTTGCTATAATTAGGTATTCACACCGTGGCGCATTCTAGCCTCGAAATTTAGAGGAAAGTACCAAATAAAAATTATGATCGTACACAAGCAATAAATGAAATGTGCAATGGGAGGAAGCAACTTCTTAATGGAGCATTCAATTTATGGGGCTTGGGAGCGAAGAAAGGTGGAAGGCATGGATTGCATGTCGTAGCCTACTTCCATCCGGTGACATATGTGAGCAAATAAACACGGACTCCGCTGACGGCAGCGTGCGTATGCCCCTTAGCGAAAGAGATAAACCCAATGAAGAATAGAAAATTTGCTAACTGATAAGCGTGCTTGATCGTTGGCTGCAAAGGAAATCACATCACTTTCTTATCTGGCTGCTAGCACGGGTTGCATATAAAAGCCTATTCAACAGACGCACTGCGACAAACCGAATCCGATCGTGGCCGACTGTAGATCAGACAACCCAAGATGTTCTGCTCAAATTCGTGGACAATCGCCGCTCCTTTACTCCTGATGGCATCAGCTCTGGTGGCTCCGGCCCAGGCCATTGTGAGACCATTGCCACCCTATGTGGGTCTGCCCACCCAGGACAGCCTAACCCGCCTCTTCTTCAACTCCCGCGTCACTCGTCGCGATCCCACGACCTCGGTGGCCTGCTTTGCCGGCTACATCGGAGAATCGAATCTGATTGGAGAAAAGTACAGTGGCGACTATGCCGATTGCCTCAAAAAGGCACAGCTGGCGCGGAAGGGCATCGACAATGATTTCCTGCCCACACGTCGCAAGATCGATAGCACCGCGGAGCGTGTGTGTGAGGCCTTGAGTGCTTGCAGTCGCGTCAACGGCACCCTCGACTCCTTCAACTGCCATGCCAGTGTGGTAAGTGAGAGTGTTGAGTGTTCTCGTTCAGAAAGATTATTAATTATCCTTTAAAATGCAGGGCTCCAACAACACCATCGCCACCTATACCATCTCTGGCAATGCGTCGGAGTCTGCGACTTTGCTGCAGGAGCGCTATCGCGTCATCGACTTGCAGCACGAACAATGCATGCATACGGCCGAGAGGAGGTATGTGGAAGCCACAGCCGGCAACTACAACTACCTGCAGGCCTGTCTAGATGGGCGCGTGAAGCCCAAACCCATACCGGAGAGTACCTCCTCGACCACAACCACAACTACAACAACGACCACAACAACAACAACAGAGGCGCCAACCACCGAGGAGCCAACATCGACGTCGCAGCCCATCAATATTCAGGATCAGTTCAAGCAGCTTTTAAACTTGTTAAACTAATGTCGACCAAAGTGCAGACCCTGTACGAACGACTGCAAAGGCGTCGACGAGGCTAGCAAGTGCAAAACATCCGCACAGCTATAGTTGCCAAATAAACGAATAGATATGTATGTGCGAGTGAGTCCGGTCAAGTGCAGGGGTAGACCCCAAAAAATATTCAGCGTTTTAAGCCATTTTAAGTGTGTACTCGTGTATTGAAATCCAAACCGGTAACGAAAACAACCCCAAGCAAATGAATTAACCCCTAAGCTGGCAAGGGTCGTCAGGATGAGTTTCGAATTTCGCAAATGCATTTCGTTGTTTGCAAAACAAGAAATTTCAAAAGCCAACATCAAGCACACTCACTCCTTACATACCCTTTAGACTTCAGATGAACATTTCCCATCAGGGAGAAAAAGTAAAGGAATTCCAAATACCCTCCTCCTACCGTCACAGTATTTTAACTAAAACAAACTCTGTTACACCAATAGTTCCTGCAGCTGAATGATTTTGAGAAAACTATAGCATATGGTTAGGCATTATACAATTACAAATACCAAATCTGTTTATAATATCGCAATAAAATAAAAATGTTATTCTACTCGAAGGGATTTTTGAACATATAGTTTCTATGGCCGATAATGCGCATTAACTGCATTGTTCAGTGTCTTTTATGCCACGGACGATCATCTTCTTGCGGCAATGTTTTTCCCTCATGTAGTAAGCCTGGCAACCAACAAGTTATCCAAAAAGTAGACATATTTTTCGGAACCACTGTTCAAAATAATGAACTTGTTTATGGCTTTTGATAATATTAAAACGCGTATGCATAAAATAATTTTCCATGCTAGATGTTGTGTTCCTAGCAATTAGGATTCAAAAAATCAAGAGGTTCATACAGACGAACAAAGGTACGGCCGATTCGATGAAACTACGATATATCTAAATTTCTCACGTCATGTCTCCTGCTTCTTAATATGACATTTGAGTAGTGGCATGGGAATTGGAGCAAGTGAAGTAAATATGCCCTCTTCTTACCCCTTAAAATTTGAGTCGATACTTCTGGCTTGCACTCTACAACAATGGAACTTACCTGCAAAGATAAAAGAAAAATATTTGGTTATACATCAATCAACCAACTACAAATAGAAACCACATTTTCAGTTATGGAAGCCAAGTCCAGTAAATATTTTAACTCTCACTGAGCAGATGTAAGAGTAACACAAATCATAGTCATGCCGCTTGATTAATGAGCTTAATTCTACAGAAAAAAATTACAGCCGTAAAGCTTGACAATGCCCGGCAGTCTTCCGTTTTCGCCGTCTCTTCGACGGTCAGTCTTGGAAGTGATTAATAAGGAAATAGGTTGATAAATGATCATGCATAGGCGAAGCACAAAACCGAAATCTTATTAAGAAATTAAAGCGCTAATAATGACCAACTATTGAGGCCTGTCAGAAGCTACTTTAGAGATCAGACATCGGCTTAAAAGTGTCAGCAACAGTACGCGAACAGACAGCGAGTGTATTATCGACCTTATATGGCAGCAGTATCACAAGCAGATCTTGGCAAGATCCCGATGTGCTATCCAGAACTTGTCATTGCAGAGAAGGCAGCTGAAGCGAGCCCACGATTGAAGCTGTGCCGCTTTTTTATGAGCCTGTCTCAAGAGCCCGCACCACACAGTCAAGACACCCGCTCGCAGAATTCCCCAACAACACGTTTGGCTTTTATGGCTCTTCAGTTGTTGCCACCATGTATGGCAATACATGGTGTGTGTGTGTGTGTGTGTGTGTGTGTAGGGCCCACAACAGCAAAAGAGCAGAAGGGGGAAAAAATACACCTGCTTGGCCTAAAGCAAGTGCTCATTTATTAACACAATTGGCATGGTATTTTTCGCAGCGACATTAATGGCCAACAGCCACTTGGCCGAGCTTAGATCGGCGCGGCCTAGGCTCTTGTTATGTGCCACGGGGCAGTGCATGGCTGTTGTACAAGTAATTCTTGGAATGTGTCTACTGCGCGATTACGTCAATTTCTATGCGTTTTATTGGCCAGCAAATCCATTCGCAATTGCGACTGACAAGTTGCAGTGACAGCAGCAGCAGCAGCAACCGTTGGGGGCTTAAGTTTGGTGGAGGGGGCGTGCAGGGGCGTGGCTCCACTTGAGGTTGGCAGTTAATTATAGAAAAACTAATTAAAATGCAGCTTCAAATGTGCTGTTGGTTGGGGCTTGCCAATGCTCAGGCGGCAATTTAGATAGCATCGTACCCATGTTTCTACTTATGCAGGCAATTGCACGACCGCAACCATCTACAAGTATACTTAGAATTCCCAAGTGATTCCTGAGGTAATAACTTAAATAGAAAGGTAAGAGACAACGCTTTGTAGCACTATGGAGTTAATGCCACCAAGACCTTGGAACTAAGAAATTACAATTATAAAGACAGAATTAGAATTAGAAAGAATTACTGCAGCCTATTATGCTAAATAGTAGCCATGGCTTGTAAGAAGGATTTTCGATCAATAAACCACAATAATTTATTTCAAGACAAATAGTCCAATCGCATTTTTGAAAATTATAAACACTTCTCTACCGTAAGAAACTTAGAAATGAAACCTAGGAATCGCAGCGAACTCAATTACTAGTGCCACAGAAAATCCATCGTCATCGTCCTCTTAGGCGCACTCACAGGCATCGACTTCCTATTCATCAAATCCTGGAGACCAATATTTTCGGAATCTGTGAATGTATTTGAGTGACTCAAGCCAAGTAGGGCGTATTGTAGCTAATTGTTATATATTAATATAAAAGTAAACCTTTAAAGTTATATGATAACTAAAAGAAGTTTCATTTATTTACTGGACATAAATTGCTATTTTACTGGCAAATACTACTTTCTTGAAACAATTATATTCCAAAAATCTGCTCAATCGTTTAACTGATTTATTATTTATTTATTCGAAATAAGTTTCAATATTAAACATTATTTGTATTGAATTCAAAGGGTTTTATTCTTAAAATCTTCTCAATCATTTAACTCAATAATTATTTACTAATTCGAAATAAGTTACGCTTAAATATATTTTTTTTAAATCAAAGTACTTTTTTTTTTAAATATTGTCAACCATTAATTCAACAAAAAAAGGCTCGCGCTGATGAAATGTCAGATATAATTACCATAACCAAACTCATATTGACTTCACAATTCACGCGCTTCACTGAACTGCGACTCTGCTCGACCGACTAACGATGCATGGAAAAATGTTTAGGCACGTCCACGCATATACGAATACTACATACATAGTATACTATATATACATACTTGTATGTATGTATGTGCATATGAATAATGCCAACGAGTTTTCACCATTTACGTGAACTTTTCATTTTCATGATGGAAAATTGGGGAAATGTGTTAATAAAACGTGAGAGCAACAGCAAAAACAAAAACAAATTCAAATTCAAACTGCGAGGCGGCTCCAAAATGGTAAACAACGTTCAAATGTTTTGCATGAATAAATTAAAATTGTTTATGTAAATAAATGGACTGTGCAAGGCGGCTATGCCGATGACGCTGACTATTACGATGCCAGCGTCTGCTGGCCAATTATGGAAAGATCACAAAGGCGACGGCGGCCACACACACACACACACTTATACACACACACGTATACCCACACACACACACGCACATGAGAGAGCCAAGTGCGACTGCAAGTGCAACGCACGTCGTTGAGTGTCCCCAAAAAAGAGCTGGAAATATTTTTCAAAAAATATATAAAGCCGACTGGACTGGACGAGGCACAGTTAAAACAACAACAACAGCAACAAAAAACTGTAGGTGAAACTAGTTTGCCTGCAGCAACAAACAAAGCAACAACAACAACAACGGCAAGAGACAACGGCAGCAGTCACAACAAAAGTTGTTTCAAGCGCCGAAAAGGAAATCGGCAGCGTATTCGTATTCGAGCGCTGTACAGTGGTGTTATTTTTCAAATCTAGCTCCAAAATTGGTGATCCTTATTTATACATTTTAATTCAGTTCTAGTCGGTTATTCAATTAACTTGGTGTAGGCGCCCAACATGGGGCCCGAGACTATCCAAGCTTGTTTTTCAGAATTTTCTTTTCAGCACCTTGCTGGATATTGATATTGATATAATATTGATATAAATTTACCAGGTCATGTCAAAGATTATGAGGTAGCAAGGAGGGTCACCTTAGTTGCTTACTTCTTCGAGGAAATTCACCATTTCTAAATGTAATAAAATTGTCTCAGAATGATAAAGTTCATTCATGATAAAGGCTGACTGGTAACAGATCCTTTCTACATGTATTAAATTCAATTTTCTAGGAATGTGTCAATTGGCGCCCAATGTGGGGCCCGAGACTAAGACGTCTTATACTCTAGGGTGAGATATCCAAGCCTGTTTTTAAGAATTTTCTTTTAAGCACCTTGCTGGCTATTCCTCTATTCGGAGAGGAAGAAGGCGCTCTTGATATAAATTTACCAGGTCATGCCAAAGATTATGAGGTACCAAGGAGGGTCACCGTGTTTGCTTACTTCTTCGAGGAAATTCACCATCTCTAAATGTAATTCAATTTGCTATGAATGATAAAGTTCATTCATGATAAAGGCTGACTGGTAACAGATCCTTTCTATATATATTCAATTAAATTTTCTAGGAATGTGTCAATTGGCGCCCAACGTGGGGCCCGAACCCTTGACGTTAAGAATAATGCTTTACTGACTATGTCATGGCCGCATTTGGAAGAGTATGCAGTGATCTTGCTATTACAAGCTATTACAAATGCTGATTGGTAACAGATGCAAGGAATTTATTTTGAAATTATCCAATGTTCAATAAATGTTATTCGAAAAATCGTTGCAAAAACAATTTTCTTCAGCTGGATTTAAGATTCGAGCCACACTGCGTCGTCGCCAACGTCGGCATTGCCTTTTAAGGCATTCGAGCTGTTGCGCATGCGCCTGTCGCGCTATCAATTTCAGTCAGCGTGCCAAGGGTGTGTGTGTGTGTGTGTGTGTGTGTGAGAGTCTGTGTATTCAGGTCATTCGCATTTTCACATTTTAAGGCGTGTTTGCATGTTGATTTTTCTTTTAAAATGCATTTTTTTTATTTTCATTCTTCTTTTTGGATTTTTGTATCAAGCATCGCCCGATTTTTGCACTTGTTGTTTAACTTTTACTGTCAGCGACTACAGTTCACGCCTCCTGGCTATGAACGC